TTTTTTAGGTTTCGGGCGGCTTCCTGGTTCCGAAGAACGGAAAAGAACCAAGATTCGTAAGTATATACGAATCTTGGTTTTGTTTTTTTTATTTTTTTTTTTTAATATTATGAACGGTTACTAATAACCGTTCCTTTCTTTTTTATAGGTTCGGGTGGACTTCGGACAAACGGGAGAACCAAGATTCGTAAGTACGAGTACGAATTTTGGTTTTTGTTTTTTTTTTAATATTTTGGAACGGTTTACTAACCGTTCCTTTCTTTTTTCTTTTATAGGTTCGGGTGGGCTTCCCAAGAACGGAAAAACCCAAAGATTCGTAAGAATCTTTATTTTTTTTCTTTCTTTGTTTATTATTATGAACGGTTTACTAACCGTTCTTTCTTTTTTCTTTTATAGGTTCGGGTGGGCTTCCCAAGAACGGAAAACCCAAAGATTCGTAAGGTATGGTACGAATCTTAACTTTTTTTTTATTTTTTTATTATTAAGAACGGTTAACTAACCGTTCTTGTATTTTTTTTTATAGGTTCGGGTGGGCTTCCGAAGAACGGAAAACCCAAAGAATCAGTAAGTTTTGAATAAAACACGTTTTTTATTTTTATTTTTTTTATTTTTTTTTAATTTTCTCTTTTCTTTTTGTAGGTATCGATTCTTTCGGCTTTGGGACTTGGATATGCCGATATGGTAAGTTTCGATATTCGAAACTTACATTTTTTTAATTATTTTTTTTAATTTTATTCTTTAAGAAACGTTCTAACTGAACGTTTCTCTTTTTTTTGTAGGCCTAGATTTTCTTTTCGGCGCTCTGGATTTTTCTTTTGTAGGTCAGCTTGATGGTTATTTCGACCCTTGAGCGAATGAATAATGGAAGATAATTCCTCAATCCTCAATGTGAATATTAAACCACTTGATGTTGTTAAGACACATACGACGAGATTTGGTTTTGATTTTTATCATGAAGGAGCATAATATTAATATAATTATCGAGGGAAAGTTCATATTTCCACCTTGTTATGGTTGTGTCACCAGGGGCGCTATGTCAACGGAATTTTAGTACGTTGATCTCTTAAAAATCCGCGGCAATCCAATTATAACAAGAGGATGAATTTTTACAATTTTACATGATTAGATATTGTATTTGTATTGTACTGTATTCTATAAATAAATTTACAATTTTTTACAATTTAAAAATTTTAAAATATACACGTTAATAATATACAATAATATATATGTTAATAAATTACTAATACTACAATTAAAGTTAACTATCGTACGATGACTAAAAAATACCATTGCTACCGTTGCTATACGTGTTTTTAATATCAATATACGCGTTTTTATACATTGTATACGCGTTTTTAAACTATCGTTGTTTTACTATGTGTAGCTTTACACTTAAATGGGTGTTGTTTTACACGTTTTTAAACATTTTTAAGTGGTGTTGATTGACAAAGGGTTCATTTCCCTACATTTTTTGGCGTTGAGCAACACATGGTGTTTTTCAACACTTTATACGCCTGTTTAAAACTTGCTGATGCCGTTTTGCAAAACCCCAATATCGTTCTATGAAGTTACACTCACAATGGAATTTTGGGTAACGTTCAAAAATATGTCCTGCTTTAATTATTGCCTCTTCCAATATTGACCGTTGTTCACAAAAATCTGGTTGCAGTGACATTATTCTTCGTGCACAACAATCTAGCCTTTCTGAATCAATATCATCTTGTTTTCCAAAACATTGCTCACACATCAAACGTATACCCTTCTCTGGCTAAATATTACGCTCTGTAAGCACATGTTTGATACCTTTTAGCTTTCCTTTTAGTTTATGATTGTCTGGAAATACCATCAAATGTACAAGTTTCTTTCCATTTTCATTGATGTACCAACCATTACGCATTTTGGGTTGTGCTCCTCTGGGACTCAAATTCATTCTCACCGCAATTAGTGCATCAGCTGCCATTGCATTATGGTTCATAGATTGGTCAAAACAAAATACACCAACACAACCAGGGTGCAATATCTCAAAAATCGGAATAGCATGATGCACGAGCTAATTTTTGTAAAAGAGGTTTGTTATCATATTTCCTAACTTTAGGCCTATAAATTTTTGACCTACCTGATCCAGCATATACTCCGATTTCCAATATCCATCTGTTTGTACTGAACGAAGAATGAAAGCTTCTTTACTTTTAATGTGTGGATTTTTCCGTATTTGTTCATCAGATAATTGTAGCAACCCGTGGTATGAACAAAGGAAGGCGGAAACTATGATAGAGCATCCTTAGTGTTTTGAGCGTAGGATATCTTCATCATCTCTCATCCAGATTCTCTGCTGTCCATCATTTGCGTAAAAATGGCATTCATCATGCGTTATCTGAACTAATTCTTTATCTCCTGGCTTAAGTTGGGATTCTGAAACTATATCCATCATATCACCATCAAAATCTTTCATTAACCTTTGATATTCAAACATCCTTTTCAACCATTCCTTTCTGTATTTCATTACATCTGGTCGCTCATGCCCATCATAATAAACCCCCTTTTTTCTTTCATCATACTTATATCCCCACAAATACATGTAGTTTTGGCATGTTTTCTCAGAAATTGTATCTTTTTTGATATGGCCCGTTAATTTAGGAAATACCATTCCTTCAATATACACTTTCAGGTTTCCAGGGGTACGTGACTCTGGTTTTTGTTGTCGTAACCATGCTTGACATTCTTCTTTAAAGTCCTCATTATTTAGCAAACTTTCTAGTTTCGTATGTTTCCCTTGATGATGGATAAGAAGCTCTCCCGTTTTTATAAAATGATCTCCCCATTTTCAAATACATTTTGCAATATAATCACCTTTGCTCCACACAGTTTGTGCAATCTGATTACTGGCATCCATTTTACCCGACCATCTAATAATAACTGTATATATCTGCGTATACTTAGATGGCGTAAATAGTCATAGGTAAAAACATTTTTATTCATTTTTACATTTTTTGTTACTGTGCATTGTTGATTTATTTCATCTAGACGTATATATAGATTTCTTGTAATCTCATCAGAAATTAAAGAAGAATTTGGTGTAGTTTCAAAAGATAAAAATGGAGATGGAGATAGAGATTGTGGTTTTAATGATTGTGGTAAGGGCATATTAGTTGATTTTTCAGTGCTTCTAAATAATGTATCAAGAGTCCTCATTCTTTTTGCATCACGCGCTAACTCTTCCTTTTTTTTGTGTTCCTCCAGACTGTGATTCTTGAAGTTCCATTGTATGCTGCTCTGATACTACCCGTAGCTTTCTCATACCAACAAAGAACTTCGGTAATAAGCTTTTTTCCCACTTTCTCAAACTCTTCCAAATCTTTTGTCCAATCATTATTTATCTCATCCTCTATCTGGTCTTTAACAATTTCACCCTCTGCCCACTCGTTAATATTCTCATTATCTATCCATTTTTCATCTTCAACAGCCTCTATCTCAGTTTCTCTGGATATGTAATGTTCTTTTTTTCTAGGTATTTTGTTAACTTGCAGTTGCCTTTTTGTTTTACGTGGCATTTAAAAAAATGGTTAGTTTATTCAAATAAAACATTTTCATTTACATGTGAAAATCTAAAAATTTTCTCATGATCACTTGTTTCTCTCGTGAAAAATTGATTATGATAATTCAGGCCGGCATCAAATTATCATAATTTCAGCTCAAATTATGATGATCTTTGGCCAATAAAATTGCATTCACGTGACAAAATTTGTTTCAAATTCGGACAAATAATATGAAAATCACTGAAGTTTAAATGCTTATAACTCTTTATGTAGGCAATTTTTTAAAAATCGGATCAGTAATTTAATAGATTTCACTTTGGAGAATAAGATTACCGGTTTATTTTTTTTGAATTCATATTATTTTTTAATGTTAAAAATTTTCCAAGTATTACAATTTTATTGTCTNCCCGATATGTGTATGATATGTGTATTATTTGTGTATGATTTTCTACATTTTGAGTACCCGATATATGTAAGATATGTGTAGGATATGTGTAGGATAGACCATTTTTTTACCAGTGAAAGAACTTCGGTAATAAGCTTTTTTCCCACTTTCTCAAACTCTTCCAAATCTTTTGTCCAATCATTATTTATCGCATCCTCTATCTGGTCTTCAACAATTTCACCCTCTGCCCACTCGTTAATATTTTCATTATCTATCCATTTTTCACCTTCAACAGCCTCTATCTCAATTTCTCTGGATATGTAACGTCCTTTTTTTCTAGGTATTTTGTTAACTTGCAGTTGCCTTTTTGTTTTACGTGGCATTTAAAAAAATGGTTAGTTTATTCAAATAAAACATTTTCATTTACATGTGAAAATCTAAAAATTTTCTCATGATCACTTGTTTCTCTCGTGAAAAATTGATTATGATAATTCAGGCCGGCATCAAATTATCATAATTTCAGCTCAAATTATGATGATCTTTGGCCAATAAAATTGCATTCACGTGACAAAATTTGTTTCAAATTCGGACAAATAATATGAAAATCACTGAAGTTTAAATGCTTATAACTCTTTATGTAGGCAATTTTTTAAAAATCGGATCAGTAATTTAATAGATTTCACTTTGGAGAATAAGATTACCGGTTTATTTTTTTTGAATTCATATTATTTTTTAATGTTAAAAATTTTCCAAGTATTACAATTTTATTGTCTAGTTAAGACTTTCAGCACCATATTTCTACTGGTAACCGGTCCAACATGATGTTGTGTTACTTATACTATAGCTATCTTCAATTACTGTAGTCCCATTACACATGGATAAAAAATATAAACTAAATTCGTATAGGATCGCAGGACCGCAGGAGCCGCTTATGCAAGAAGTTCTGCTAAGGTATATCTAAGCCTCGTTTTTAGTAATAGCTCACTTTGGGGAACCGGTTGATGAGTCCTTAGTCGCATTATTATAATACAATTCGAAGAGGGCCTTAAGCTTATTTAGGAGAGCTTGTTTATTCTTGTATGATTCATGGATTTTTGCTATCTTAGCAGTATATGCCACATTATCTGGAAAGAGTTTTCTGGCCACAAATTTCACGTATGATACAGGAGACCTTGCCGTCTGGATTCGCTTGATATACTTCACATGATCCTGGACAAGGTAGCTGGTTTTGCTAAATCCAGATACTAATGCGACTACTATAGTGTCTTTCAATGCGTGGATAATTTTGAGAACAGTTTCGTTTGAGACAACATTAGGCTGAATGCGCGATGCCTCGTAAATAACCTCCTCACTAGTGCTGTCAGTGCTGTTAACAATGCTTGCTAATTCGGTATATGTCGACATGATTCCTTGTACTTTGTAAAAAATATAAATCTTCAGTTACCTGTTTGTTCGAATGAGAAGAAATAAATATGAACCTTGAGGTTTACACTTGGGATACTGCAAGGCAGTAGAAGCGTTGCTCAGCCTTTTGTATCAATGGAGAGTTTGGTCTATACAACCAGGGAATAGCGACTTTCTGGATGATCCTAGCTGCTTTATTGTTCCTTCTTTCTATATATTTCCTAAAGGCTTTCTGGATCATTTCAGCATGATGAGTATAATAGTCGAAATTAAAATGCTTTAGGCAACTATATAAATGTAGTCATACTGTTTGATCCATAAAAGCGTCATTTCCCTATCCGCGATTAATAAAAGATTTACAGTAGGTACAGTACCACCTATTTGGTAGTCGTGATACTATTCTCCTAATGTGTACAATATAAGCATATACATCTTGATGAGACCTTGGATAAGGTGGCCGCTTATGAAAACCTATTCTACTACAAGTCTCATAATATTGCACAGCATTCTGAATGCGCCTAGCCCACGTGTGGAAATTTTCGTCGTCTTGTCTACCTAATCCGTCAGTGTTTTGCATTTGGGTATCTCGTAAGATTACATGTTCTATAGGTTTATTCAATTATGCCATCACGGTATGTCAGTAAAAAATAAAC